AGTACTTTAACGGTCAAACTCATTAGTCCAAGGCAATATCAAAAAGTACCTAATAACTACGGCGATAGAGTTTAATTACATGTGCTTCGATATTAAAATTAAAAAGTTTAAATATCAAAAAAAAATAGTTGCTTGGGATTTGAACCGCCGAACTTACGTACCAACGGCGGCGAACGGTAAGGCCACGAGATCAAACTAGCCTATATGATGACAAACTTAAATTTGATGTTGGTTTTATCTACATAACATCTGTCATCCGCGTCGAACACTTTTAGTAAATTTTGAAAAACGGTTTAATGCAAAGTGTCAAATTAATGTAACAGAAGTAGTTTATTCCAAATTGTATCACAAGTATATAGAGATAGAGTTCAATTTTGTCAAATGTACCGATATTTTTGCGCACCTTGACTGCTTCGTTACTTATGACGCTGTGGCTGCTACGATATTTATGAGCATCTTGCATGTACTCATATATTTGACGCTGTGTATGTACCGATGTATTTGAGCAGGGTGAATGTATCTATCAATTTGAGGACTTTTGTTGTACCGATATAATTGATTACTTTCGGTGTACCTATATATTTGCATATCTTGTCTGTGACGATCTATATGACGCTGACTGTACGTCAGCTCGATCTGAAGTATCTGGGCTTTAAAGAATCAAGGTCATGAAGTAGAGCTATTCAAATTAAATACGTTTACTTTGAATGACTGTTTTAGGTTGGCGATAAACGCGACTTGTACTCGTATCTATGCACATAAATCATCAACTCACTATATGTGTCACTATACGTCCCCACTGAGGTGCTCGGAGCCTATCCTATGTTTGGGGTGACAAGGTCATAGTCAAACCACGCTGAGCAAGTGCGGGATGGTTGACTTGACACATAGCTTTGATTTTCATCTCAGATATATGCAGGTTGCATCACGATGTTTTCCTACACCGTAAGAAAATCGTATAAATGTACATATGTAAATCGAAAAACACTTTGGTACATGCGGGATTCGAACCCTGCAGATTGCAAGTCAAGTGCTTAAACCCCTAAGCCACCGACGCTCTATGCACTCTGTGCATATAAATACGTAGCAGTGATCACCACATGCACTTGTTCGATGAAAAGGTTTACATTTGATTTAGATGCTATAAGAGTTGTAATAACTGTTCGAACGAACTAAAGTAGGTACAGATTATGAAATTTTCGTGTTGTAAGTTTGTAACTCAATAAGAACGGATTCGAATTCAGTTCTTAACTATTTCTTACTAATTCAGTTCCATGTCTAGTCTTCATTTTAAAAACTTTTTAATTTTATAGGGTTTTTTTAAATAAAAGGCAAGTTATAACTTGACGTGTATATATTTATTTAAATCCACATTAAAATATTTCCAAGCTATGTTGGTATAACTTCATAATTAACATATATTATAGTAAGTAAACAGTACTAGAAAATAATAAGGTATAAGGTTGTAACAAAAAATACTTTTAGCTTCAAGCTATCAATAATAATTCAAAAATAGCAAATCAAATCGAGAACAATATTAAACTCGCACATTATTAAAATCAATATACCATTACAATGTTATAAAACAATTTTGAATACATTTGGCACATCAGAATTTTATTTGAAAAAAAAAATTGCTTATAAGCTCAAATAATTCTTAACAATTTTTTTAAATAAAATTGTTAAAACCAATTCTTTATTACATAGACAATTAAATAGGAATTAAAAATTAAATACAAAATAGTTCATATTCGTAAAAGTTTGTAGATTGACATAAATTCCTATAAACAGTTCAAATTGCTTGCAAGCAATTAATTCCTATTAGTTTAAATTATTCTGATTATTTTATTATCCACTTATTTTGACTAAATGCAATATGTGAAAGTGTTTTTATATCTAATACAGTTGACCTTTAGCCAAATATGTTTAATACATAAGTATTTATCTCATAATATATAAACTACATTACATGTGTTAGTTGTGATATAACATAGATTATACAGGGTGTCCCAAGACGGTGCCATTTAAAGTAACTTTTTTTTAATGTTTATTATAATTCTTACATAAAGGATGTTTCATTTTTATTTTAAAGGTTGTTAGAACTGCGTTTAAATTATTTAATCATAAATAAACATATCCTAAAGAATCAATTCCGCTGAATGTGTGAAGAAATTAACTTTTTCCGTTTAAGGTGGATGAAAAATATTATGAAAATTGAAACTTTATCTCTTCAGTGAGAGACGGGAGAACGCGAAACTGGTCGATGCCAACATCGGATTAAGAATAAATGAATGTTGCTATGTTATTTTTATATTTCGTGTTTAATGTCACAGGAAATTTTAAACAATTTTAACGTAATGTTGAATCATACTTTAAAACTCCTTTCTAAAACATTAAAGAGACTTCGCTAGAATGTATACATACTGTATATTATTAACTTCAGTGAAAACACATGTAAACTTAATCATATCTTATGCCAATAAATATATACGATAGGCAAAAAATACTCTATTGAATAAATTTATGTGTAAATTAAATCATAAGCAACAATATAAAACTGCATATAGAGTAAAAACAAATTTAATTTTGTTGTATATAGAGAAACAATAAAACCAACAAGAGACTAACAACTTCAATTATCCTAACTAGAAATATATTTAATAAAATACTTGAAATTACATAAAACGATGCCTTAAACATATACGTACAGCGTAAAGGCATTTTAAAATACAGGTATGTTAAAGTACAAGGACTCAACAAATAAGATAAAAACATTCTTTTAGGGCTGACATTTAAATATTCAGATATACACAATTGTTGTTATGACAAACTGACAAAAAGTAAATAAAAAAAATTACAATTTACCAACAAATGAAAAATAGATTTTTAAAATCTAGATTAAGATATGTAGCTATCGCTTAAAGCAACTATTACGATTGGCAAAATTTGAAGCAAATTGAGAAAAAATGTTAGGGAACGATCAAAAAACGTCCTTGTTAAAAAATTAGCTAAGCTTAAATTCGATGTTCTTTTAATAAAAATTATTTGATCTGAGCATTAAAATATCGACCCTTATTAAATTAAACATCGCAAAGTTAAATCCTTTTTCATCGAAAAACAAATATAACATCGATAGTTGCATTAAAATCACATTTTATAGAAATTTTCATTATGTGCTAATTACTGTGTGCGAATAAAGATAAAAGAGATGCAGCGTGCCGTCGAAACTTTCCGTGTGTAACGTTTAAATACATATCAAAGCACTAAAATTGAAATTATATTTTTTATCATTTCATTTGAAAAGGAAGGACAACGCAGAAGACAGATATTAAAAGTTGATTGAAAAAGTGTAAAATAATGTGTAACAAATGTCAAGAGAATAAAGTATATTTTAATCGATTGATTTTGTTTAATAACAAAAACTTTTGAACTTATTCTAAATATAAAAATAAAACAATCATAAGAAAAAACGTGTTTACAAAAGTTCGTAAGTATCGGCAACACCACTGTTTGAATTCAATTGTAACAAAAACAATGTAGGCAGTTCTGACACACACACGAGGCGAGTGCACGGTGTGACTAAGAACAGTGTCAAGCGCATACACATATATTTCATACGTGGATACTACACCTATAATTCTAGACTCTAAATATTTTCTAATACAGATATATTTGAGTCTAAAAATAATAATACGTAACACATAATTTAATACAATATCACTCTTTATTTTATTTTAATAATCAATCAATTTGATAATAATTCTACTATTTTTATTTAAGCGAGTAATGTTTAACATAAACTATACTAATATTATTGACGGTTGACGTGCGAGTACCAATGTTGTAGCGATATTTTACTTACTATGAGTTTCCACTACGAAACACCTGTATAAAACATATAGTTATCCCTCTCATTTTATTTGAAAGAAACCGGGATAACGATATGCACATTTGATGTACATCAGTGGATACATTCGGTTGTAGTTCCTGCTAGAAGCTATTTTGAAATCGATTTATGCGACGAAAAGACGCTCTGACTTACATGTAAATTAGAGAGTACAAAGCCGCTAGAGTCTAGCGGCTAGACCATTCCTTCGCTACTACTAGAAGTCATGTCGACATAATTACTTTTACTAAGGAGTTCAACGTATTAAAAGATCATATTTAAGCCGTCAAAAATATTAAATAGTTCGCTATTAAATTATGTATTTAATAGACACATAATTACTAAGTATACTTAAATTTCGTTGTGCCAGAAATTTCCCATGTACTTCTAAAAGGCGCGCGATGGATAAAACAATAATGAAGGTAATCAAAATGCATTGGTATTTTATTAATTTGGCACATTATATGCACTTGGTAAGGGATGAACGATATGAATAGATTAGTTTTAATGATCTATATTATTAGACGAAGAGCTTAAGATAAGGAATAAATATATATACAATGAGTAGATTATAGTAAGATATCCATTGAAGGGAATATTTTCCTTGAATAGGACATTCGCAAAACATAACAGAGATTTAGGAATTTTAATGGTAACAAATTAAATCAAAAGTAATGATTAAGGTAACATGAGAATAAAGACATATTTAAATATAAATCCGTTACTAAAATTGTAATAGTTAACAAAGATTCGAGGTGCGTAATTTGTGATCATCAGACCGTTTCGTCTGCGGGTATCGGATGAAGGACCTCACTACTAATAATGATCCTTAAATTGTTAGTAAGGTATTATTCTTGTAGGACTTAGTTTGGATTAATAAGGATCGTAAATTTAAAAATTATTTATTAAAGCAAAAAAGGCTTTATAAAGATTCGTTTGCGTAGATGTAAGATTATGGAAGACGTTAGAAAAGTGCCAAGCCCCATTTTACTCTAAGGTAAGGCCTCGGCGTGCTTTACTTTGTTATTTTCTTATAAAATTTGAATTTTAATCAAAAATGGATCACATAATATTAATCTATTGCATTATTAAATGAAGCAAATTATTTTTCATACAATTATTAGTTAGAAAACGTTCTTTTGTTAATTTTAATGTTTGATTCTAATAATTAATTTTGAAACATTTACGTATGAGTGACTACTTAATATGACCATTCTAGCTATAATGATTTATTCGAAGCCCGACCAATAAAGCGGGAAGCCTATAGGGATATATGAAGTGTACGTATCGACTATTACCATCAAAAACTCTTAGGATATGCGGCACAGTATGACGCCTCAAACTTGTGTATGATACGCTAATATTATTGAACACTAATTGTGATTTTACAAATGGAGATATAAAACAACTCATTGCTACTAATAGAAGATATATAAAATTGGGATCAAAATTATTATACAAGTATCAAAAGCAATCACTTTGTGGTCACAGTATGTCAGTCTCGTAAACTTTGTTCGTGGTGGGAATCGCGTCAGGCGCCTTGTTCGACTGCGGGCTCAGAATTTCAGGATCACTAATGTCATTTCTCTTTCTTTCACTATCGGCTGCTAAATGTGTCATACTGCCGGATATGTTGGCTGGTGCAAGATTTAAATTCATTTTGGTAAGGAGATTTGACTCGCTACCTGTTTTTTTGAGCTCAAGTTGAACATTTGGTGGTATAGCAGGACCGCTTCTATGGATCATTTGTAAGCGGGCGTACTGCTCTTGGAGAGCCTTTTGTTTTTTTAGTAGCTCCTGGTGTCGTTGTTCAAGAACCGCCTGACGCGAGTTACCCTTTTCGTCGTAATTTGAGTCGTGATTTGAGCGGCAGGAATCAGAGTCAGCGCGAGGGGAGGATGGCGAGGTGGGGGAGGCAAGGGGAGAGCGAGACGTCGTCCTGGGCGGCGGCGGTGGCGGAGCACGCCGCGCGGCCAGTGCAAGCAGTTCTGGATGTCGCTCAGGGACCGGAGGCTTCGGTGGATGCTGACCGCGTGCCCTGACCGGCGGCGAGGCATCGGTGTCGCTGCCGCTCGGGTACGAATGCAGTCGGCGCAGCGGGCCCTCAGTTCTCGCCGCGCGCTCCGAAGGCTTAGCAAAGGTTTGCAGTTCATCTAATAGCGCGTCGAGGGCATTCTCTGGACGCACGTCTGTTGTTCCTCTGTTTGTTGCTGTTCGTATGGGGATGACGCCACCGGTGCCCTGTACATTATTTCAATTTTTTTAGCCGTGTTCAATTATAAATAATAATAATAAACGCGAAGTTGCAATGTACGGACTTTTGGAAATTAAGTAGTTGATATTTACATAGCTACAATTGAGACCACGCCACTGCAAATTCGCATTTATGAAATATTTAAAAAACATTGAACAAAACATTTATAACAATCATTCAAATAAATCCATTGATTGCACTCAGTACCCACGATTATTTATATATAATACTAGATTAAATGCTTCCACAATCATTCAAAAGAAAAATAGTAATGAAATAAAATACATAAGGCTTCTTTTGTAGCCAAACACTTTAAGAAGTTACTTTATCGTAATTATTTGCGGTTTGTGGATAAAAATAATTTTATAAAAAACTTTTTACCATTTATTTGAATAGACAGTTATTTGGCTACAAAAAATAGGAAGTGTAGTTGCCTATGATATGTGGTAAGTCAAACCAAAATGGTGACGTTATGGATAGAGGGTACAGGCGAACGCAAAAGATCATAAGACGATATTTATAAAACAATTTGAATATCTTCGAATTAATGTGATAAGAAATATTTATATTTTTTTAAATTTAGTGATACATAAAATGCAGAAAATACTTTTAGAAATAACGCTCTTAACAATTGTGACGATTTTGCCATTAGTCAAAATTTTAAATACGTGTTTTAATGTGTTTTCAATTTCCATTACCTTCTACAATAATGATGCGTCTATGTCGCTGCGGCAGCGATAACTTTCAACAACCAAAAGATAACTGAAGCTCTCAAGTGAATTGCAAACTACTAAGAAAGTTTAAACCGTTAATCATTATCCAATGTGCTCTTTTATATACGAATCAATGTTAATATAAATTATATTTGAAGCAGTTAAATATTAAAGAATATAGAACAATTTACCTGTGCTCCAGATGCTTGGGTTAGTCTATTTCATATCACGATTTCAGTTAAAATAGTGAAGAAAGGCATAGGATTGTAGAGGAAGTTGTAAAATGTCAAAGTAATTTTTTTTAAAACAAGTACAAGTAAATAATTTGGTGAAAGATTGAAAAAAGCGTGAATGACTACAGGCTTTAGGGGAATTAGAAAAATACAGAGATAGAAATTAAGAAGAGGGTGATGATAGTGGTGGGTCGAAGTCGAAGGAAAAGGTTGTAGGAGTTTATTGTATTCCAGAAGATCTAGGTTGTGAACTGCTTCTTCTACTGATAATGTGCTGCAACAAAAACAAAACAGCAAAATGCACAAACTATTATGAAGCAATCATTTCAACGAATACAACATGCAATTTTTAAACATCTAGATTTATTTAAGTAAAAACTTACTTCCTTTCTTTGTATACAACGTATTGTACGTCCATTTAAAGAGAAATAGCATTCATAAAATACGTAAATATCAACTAAAAGGTAACATAATTATATCATTAAAATGATCATAAAAATCTAATGAAACACATATTTTCATGAATGTTACCTCTTTAATAACTATAAACTAACATTTATTCTTCAGTGTAAATCAAACCGTGGGTTTCCTTGTACCATAAACATTTAATCAACCTATTTGCTTTACTATTATTATTAACATCTACTATTAATTAGGTTTTATAAATTAGATTTGACAATGGTAACACACGGTAATGACTATTTTGTTGAACTGAGTAGAAGTAAAATGTGATGTGATACATGCAACATGCACTTTATGGTTCATACACACTGCTCGTTCCAGTCTGCATTTAATTTATCACAATATTAAATCTATTAACACAAAGCTGCGAATCGATGAACGGCCACGATTTTCGCACAACTTTCATCTTTGATTTAAAACATACTGTACACAAATAAATAAGGGTCAAAATGATATTGGACAAAAGTAGGTGAAAGTTGTGACGTTTTCATTTCTTAATTACTCTGTGTCATTGACAACAGCACTAATTATGAGTTTTCACTGTCGATATTTCCACACAAAAACATATTGCCGTCTCGCTCATTCTCTCTGACAAAACTGAGACGGCAATATGTTTTCATACAGGATTTTGGCTGTGCGAACTCACAGTTAAATAAATTGTCTCTCTATTAAAAGCTAATTGAAGTATTGAGATATAATATAACTTAGTGCGTTTTGCAATGACACATTAATGTAATTCAATTTGTCTTAATTAATTGTAAAAATAAGTAAGCATGCGTACCGATTCTTTCAATACAGTTAGAACTGGAAAAAATATTTCAAAATTTAGTTTCTAATATCTGAAATTCCACAAGTCTGAGTTTTTGAACCATAATATTGCTAAAGCATCGTGTACCATTGTGCATCGACATGCCTAAATAAAGTTAGCGAATCGTGTTAATTTACATACAAATATATGAATAATAAAAGGTAAAATATAACAAAGTAAAATACGGACGGAATAAAAACGTTGGAAAAATTATCAAAACGCTCTTTATGAATATAATAATGATAAAATAATAATAATATAGATATATTACGAAGAGATTTATTACTCGTTAATAACTATGGCTTTCCGGAAGTATTGGCTCTGTCTCCAGGCGAACTGACGGGTACCATGACGGAAAAAAAGACGATGAAATCCATCATTAAAACAACACGATAACACAACGTAAATATATTTTCACAATACAAGAAAAATGTTGTTATAGACATCAGAACGTAGTCCACAAGTCTGGCTACAATATCATTTTGAAGATGCAATTAATCGATTGCAATATATTGCTATTTTTTTAAACAAGTAACATTTTATTTTAACAAAAGCTAAATATGTTTTTAAAAAAATTAATTTCTGATTTTTTCCACCGATATTACTCAAACCATGTTACACAAATAATATGGAAAAAGTATTTCACCCATTCTGAACAAACCTTCAACACCTTTGGCAGATTTATAATTAAAATTGGCATTATTTTCCGGAAGCAAGGTATTTCATTTTTACGACGTTTATGGATAGTGCAATGGTTGCAGGAAATGTGCAAAAGAATTTTAAATTTTGCTGTATTCTGTTAAGCTTCAATCATCACACTCTGATTAATAACACTTGAATTTATATTATTAAACAAGCAATATAAAACCAATTTAAATTACAATAAATTGTTGAATTTACTATTTTATGGAAGAATTACCAATTCTCGTTATATTACATATTTTACTGTATGTTAAAATTTTATAAAAAAGAAACGTGAATAATTATAATATTGTATGAAAACTGTTCGGATTGCAATAGATAGCAATTGTAGAGAAAACATTTTAATAAAAATTTCCAGAGCGTGATGAAAACTTTATTATTATATTAAATGTTGAAATACGTTGAAATTTCGATGCGAATTCAATTAAGATGTTGTGCGGTAACGAAGTCCACGTAATGCATGGAGTATTTCATTTCGTAAGCACAATTAAAATTTTGAGGCCGATTCCACAGCAACATTCAGAATACAAGGGAAATAGTTATTACAAACCATGTCATTCCAGAATTGTTCTAGATCAAAACAATTTAATTATTTAAGTTAAGAATTAGTCTAAATTAAATAATAAGCAACTACTTCTAGGATTTATCTAGAACTAGTGAAAAGGAGAGTAACTATCCGACCTACATAATAATAGAGAGGTGCAAATCGGAGTAAGAAAAACAAAAGGGTACATGCATAGATAGTTAAAGAAGCAAAAAATCTCTTGTTCTAAATTATATTCTACGTTCTTTACGTAAATATAAGAAATAGGGAAAATATAAAAAGCCGTCAGTGTGACGGGGAGCAAAATATAAAACTTTACTCGACGCAAACAAAATGAAGTGTTGGAAAAAAATGCAAATTTTAAACTTTTGGCAAACCTGCAATTGTTAAGCGATAAACATTATTATATGATGTAAACATCTGAAAATTATCTTTAAATGAAGATCTGCTTAATGCGTCTGTAAACAAAATACTCTATGAATATTCTTAATTTTTAAATTTCATTATTCGGAGGAAGAAAATTGTTTCAATTTTATTTTAATCTGTACTTTTCATTAGTAATAAAATTCAATTTGGATTTAGGAAACTGTTTTTCTTCCATTCAAAATTAAATTGACAACTCTTAAGATAAGATTGTACTCTTTACCTTGTTGTGAGAAGTCGCGAGGTGGCAAGTACTTTCCGGAGTGAACTCTTCAGAGGATGGTCCAGCTGTGATTGAAGAGCTTTGGGAAGACCCTGGGGAAGTGCGGCCGTCGGTGATAGGAAGACGTTGCTCTTGCACACAGGCCAATCTATTTCATAATTTATAATTAGCTGCATATTATATATTTTAGATATTCGTAAAACATTTAACGTAAACAATTAAATAGAAAATTAAAAAGAACTTTACTAAAAACTTCGAAATATAGTTTTGAGGATTTTTGGATAAATCAAGGATGAAAATGTTGATGACATCAAAATATACAAGTAAATAGAATCATGAGTTGTATTAAAATACCTTTTAAGGGTAACCAATGTTCCTGTTAATTTCTTACAACGACGTAAGGCAAGTTCAAGACGCTCTGGTTCATCTTCAAGCATTTTTTCTTTACGTACAACCTGTTGGGACAAAATCCATGCTATTTCACATATATCATAATACGTATATTTAGGTGTGACAAATGACGCCGCTACTTACTTTCTCCATTTCCGATGCTAATTTAACTTTCATAGTATCTTGTAGTATCGGGAATTTAAGCTTCCAATCAGCAACAGTTTTGCTGCTCTTTGAGAGCACCATGGCAATACGTTCGATGTCTGCCATGTTCACTCGAGTTTCCCTACAATTCAAAACAAACGAGTGTAATAGTCGAAGTGTCTATTCGACTTAACTTAATAACTAGAAGTTACCTGTTTGCAGCTTGACCACGAAGTCTCTCGACTGTTGCTTCTAATTCATAAAGGTCATTTTCGAGAAGCAACATATCCTGTCTGTAAATTTCTTCTTCCCTTGTCAACTGTTTAAAATACAATAATACGTTAATAAACTACAATATAAAATGAATGAAGGCGTAATAACTGTCAATATTACGATTGATTTAATATAAATATTACGTACAGAATCTTGATCATTCTCGCAGAAACTAGCTGCTATAGCTCCAATCTTAACAATGGTGTCGGCCATAAGTTGTCTCATTTGAATGGCCTGTGACAAAGTGGAGCGCCGCAAATTTCTTGTCTGCGAATCAAATGAAGACCTTTAATCTCGAAGACAAACAAATATCGAAGACAACGCTAGCGGATTCGCGAAGGCAATAACATAATTCGCATGAGCAGTATTCGCAAACATTCGCAAAATCATGGGAACTTAAAATACTATTATGAAACTAACCTCGATTCTGAGATCGTGACTTTGCTTTTGGAGCATTCGCAACTGGTTGAAAAAGTCGGGACCAACGTTTAAGGTATACGTTCTCTGTGGAGCTAATGGCAGTTGCTGGCTAACGAGCCCGGCGGGTTTCGGCGGAGGTGCCGGTTTCAATCTATCACGTTCTGCAAATCAAACAATATTATAAATGTCGGAAACACATTTTTTATCAACGTCCATGTAACACTATATCAAGCTTTCTCTATAAGCGTACAAATAACCGGTTATAAAGATCAGCAATAAAGTGTTTCCATCAAGCAACCATCAACTCTCTATTGAAGGTTAGAATGTAAATAAATACAATGGCTAAGTGATAAAATTACAAACTAAGCGGTAAAGAAGTTACGATAATAAATATGACATTAACATATGAAGTTATATAATAAAATATATAATACATAAATTGATATATTTTCGAATCAAGCTGCATTAAAGGTGATGCGATGCGTATTACGCCAGAAGCGTTGCTTTTCAATATTTTAAATTGTGTATGTGTAAATATATTAAAAAAAAAAACAATGATTTACAAATTACCTTGTGAAGACGTCCTCGGCAATGTGGATGATTTGATTGCCGGTTTAGCTGGTTTTGTATCAGCTTGTTATGGCAAAGAAGTAAGCGGAAAGAAATCAAATACAAGAATTATGAATATGGTTACGACCTTAACTACGATAGTGTAAATGAATAAGTAACAGCAAAGAGTTTTCTGATCGTAAAAAATGGATATTTGATCACAAATAAATGTAGTAGTTTTCTTACAAGAATCTAGAACATGTCGTCTGAATATGTAAGTTATGTTCAAATCTAGATAATATAGACAATTTATATAATAAATATTACTTTTTGATACTAAATATTAATAAAAATAAATAATAAATAGTACTATCATAATATAACGCAGATGCCGAACCAAGGTTTTAATAAATATAAATTTTGATATTTAAATGTGATGTTTTATATAATATTATATATTTGTATATGTATAAGTAACGTACATAACAAGCCTTCACCGTGGAAATATTATTATTTGTGTAGGATACCTACATCGGTATAGGAATTACCTACTTCTACAGGTTATTAACCAACTTTAGCATTCTGGTTCTTCTTAACCGTGAAAATCCACTGCCTTAAAGTATTAAAACATTTTTTTCGTTTTCATAAAGTTAAATGCCAATATGTTTTGATACATGTTGAAACAGTGGAAACCCACAGAAAGAGGTACGGTTTGTTTGCATACCTGAGTGTTGAGGAGAATGTTGTTTGGGGGAGTTCATGTCTGGTGGATCATCACTGAATGACACAGATTTTTCAAACGATACAGATTTTTCTGAAATAACAAATATTTGTTATAACACATCGACAACACCTTTCTATAAATATGATGAGAAATCATATTCATTTAAAGTGTCATATAAATCCTTTGTGCTGTACCTTAAATGTGCAATTTTGTATATTGTTAAAAGTACGATAAAGTGATTTTTTTTGTATTAAACAGACATGTGCTTATTTAATGTGTTACAAGCATATATTGGATGTGAAAATGTTGAAAACGAGAATGAAAATGTCAATTTAATTTTGATAATCCTACTTTTCTCAAAATGCACAGGATGTTAAGGATTTCAAATTTTCTTATATATTACAATATAGCGATCGTTCTTCACATTTGTAATAACATTTAAAGTGATATGGAGTTAAATAGTATATTTATTCGTTAATGAACAAAATTATTTCCTATTATTTTATAAATATAAAATTTAATTTTAACTCTTTTTAATGCGATTTCTTATGATTCGATTGTCACTAGGCTTGCGTATTTAATAAAAAATTTTATATTTAATTTTTAAAAAAAGTAACGTCAATAACAATTGGAACCTATTTACTTCAAATCAAACAGGAGCATATCATGTAGCATAACACGAACATAATTTACAAAACTATCAAAGCAATATAAAACCAAGTTTAAAACGATTTCTTACATAATCTACGAGTACGATTTATTTACATTATAACAATTGACCACACTTGATGCATTTTTATCTACGAAAAAATAAAGAATATTTTTTTACTCAAATAACTTCTATAATACAAGATAACAATGTATTAGCTACGTAAAGGCATTTTTCAGCAATATTATGTCAATATGTTTTGTGCGATGATTTTATAGATTTTTACTTTTCATAAAGACTTTAAAAAATCTTACAGCATTTTGCAAATCAAATTTTTATACTAAATTTCATTTGCATACTTCGATATGTAAAAATTCTATAAAATACAACTTTTATTAGCTTTTCAACAAAGGCACAAATAAATTAAATGAATGGTTTTCTTTATTTTAGTGGTCTTAGCTAAATTGTAATATACAAGCAATGACGATACAAATGGAGTCAGAACCGAGTACAATTTAGTTTACAATACAAGGAAGCTGAAAGAAAAGGTTTACGAATTAGCAAGCAGGCGTTCAGCATGACAATGGATTCCGCCAAATGCATTGCCAATGGTTTTTTACTTTTTTTTGCGCAATAAAATCAAAATACAATTTGTCAAAAAAAAACCAATGAATTGTAAAATCAAAATAAAAAATAACTAACATAAAAAAAATTATTAATTTAATGAAATAATTAATTTAAATTGAATTATTAAATTGAATTTTTTTATTATAATCGAAAAAAAACTTTAAAATGAATAAATTTTTATTTCAACATAAGTCTAAAAATTATCATTTTTTAATAGTGTCTTTTGTATTCATTAGCAATGCATATGCGTTTATTTCGAACGCGTTTAGTTAAACTTACGAAATCTGTCTCTCCCTAATTTGGGAGGTCTCTCCTCGCTTGTGAATCTCACCGGATCTGAGTGCAGGAAAACGCAAGCCGTATTAACGAACTAAGCAATTGTGATTTAGCTGAAAAGCTTTTAGGTTTTTCTCCAGACTGTCACAGACTTTTCTTACAACTGACAAACTTGTTGGATGTTCATAAGAAAACCACTAAACTTCATCATCCTCGTAAGAAAAAAAGGGTTAAAATGACATTAAAATCATTTATATTAATTTCCAAATTTTGCAAATTAACTGTAGTTAACAGTTAGCGGATTCATTTAAAAATATATATATATACTGCATTTTATTGTGTATCTTTGATTCAATATAATTCATTTGTTCAAAGTAAATTTGATGTTAAAAACCTACACAACCGTGAGTTTCCATTGCCGTATTGCCCGAACAACGCATTACCTCAGTTCAAGGAACACGAGAGAACAATATGATTTTGTACGAGTGTCAGAAATTGTAGGATTTATCAAATAAAATATTACTAGTATTGTTATTATTAACTCTTACCGGTGGTAGCCGGTCTAGGTTGGTAAGTTTGGAACTCCTGACGAGGCGCCGCTGCCGGTGCTGGCGTGGGCCCGGGTACCTGCAGTGCTTTCTGCACTAAGCCAGTTAAATTCGCTAGCTGGCGTTCCATTTTCTCTACGCGTAAACGTTGCATGTCATCTACTTGTGTCGGCAATCTGCAATATCACATCTCATTCCAACAATCCTAATTTATATAGAGTAGTCATTTTTTTTTTCATGGAATTAAAATAGTTTAATTGATATTCGCATACAGCAACTGAAAATCGCATTGCCGTTATTGTGGCCACAATATAGCACAGCGTTATTAATTAAAACATATTATTCAAACGATCATTATAAATTGTATATCAATAGATAAATTCTTCATGTTCATATTAAAACGTGTTTCTGTTAATTAAGAAGAAAATATGCAGTGAGTTGCACAAACATTGTATGTTCCGTCATTACCTGGCATCAAATGGTGGTCGTGGCATTGGCCGCGGCGCTGTGGTTATGGCATTGACGCCATACAACTGATATGAATCGTCGATAATTACAGTATCACTGCAAATTGTTTATATCTTTTTAATTTGACTAACGTGTTCAACATATTAAAAGATTCATTCTTTATGGTGGCTCGAAATTGCGAGCCGAAATAAAGATTGAATTGCGCTATACACATTATAAATTGATGAAAATGATTATGCATTATTATAATACCTGGCCTCTTCATCAATAAGTGGTGTGATGTTAGGTCTTGCAGCTTGTCCTAAGAACTGTGTATAATATGGGTCCTCATAGGGCGGACGAGAGGCGCTGCGCTCGGGTGACGACACATACCCGTCTCCTGTAAGCCCTGAACTCGTATTAGCTCCTGAAATACGTATTAAGAATTCACTAACGTAATTACAAGCCCTGAATAATCAAACCTTCAGCATATCTTATTTACCTTTATGTATGTTCCTATTGAAGGTTACAGTCATTTACCTCTGTGTTCCTACTTTTACATTTTAAAATATTTTGGTTTGTTTATTTCAATAGGTTTATTCCCAAGGTTTTAATATGCCAGGGTTAAAACAGCATACATAATTTCAATACGAAATTTTTAGTTTGTTGTTTATTTTTTATTTTAATTAAATATGACGTATACAGTCTGATAGTAAAATTACACATTAAAAAAGCATGCGATAAATTTTGTGCTGGTTATTTCTTGTGCCAATTGTTAAAAAACAAAGTGTGTCGACATATTTTAAAATCAGAAACACTGATATAATTTTGGTTTAAAGCAACGACAGCTATGAAAATTCTTACGAATACCTCTGATTATAGGTAGAAAAATTCAAAATATTTAAACTAACAAATGGTAAGAAAGAGTTAAATATAGACGTTTTTAAATATTTTATAGACATAAAACACAGACATTAGCAGTAGTCGACAAAAAAGCTTCGAGCAAATTAATTCTTAGAAGCAAAATGAAGTTTTGAACCCGATATTCGTACCAGTGATTGTGTAAAGCTGCTCTGTCACCCGAGGACAGTCGGCGAAGGGAAAACACCTCTCGGAACCTGTGCCGGGGGCGTATCGCAACGGCTTGGTCGGCACTGAGGGATATATATGTACATACAAATCTGTCTGTACCTATTTCAAACCCTTACTCGATTATCGAACTAACAATATCGCATTGAAATCGAAATTCCAAACTGTACGTACTATCATATACGGACACGTTATTAATAGGAGATCACGTTTAACGAAATATGGTTCTATAATATCAATAGTATTTTCACTCTTTCACTATTCATTAAGGGATATAATGGCGTTAGTATACTGAATGTAGTGTTATAAATGCAATTTTACAATGAATGTCTAAGTTTACCAGTTGTTGGTATAGTCTTGACGCGGTCAGCCGGTACAGGCGGTGCGGCTGGTGAGAACGCCCTTATGATGGCACCACCTCGAGGCAAAGTGCTGGGAGCTGGAGTACCCATGTAGTATGCAGGTGCCTTAACCTATTGAAAAAAAATATGTCACACGAGACGTAACTCAGAACACAATTTTAGATATTAGTGGAACGCAAAGTACTGGCGCTATAGCCCAACATGACTTTTTTTCTGCGCAGACACGTCACGAGACACCATCAAGTTTGTGTCTTATAATGCTTATAACCAAAAAAACAAATTTGTTTCTTAGTTTTTACAAGCAACCTAGCAAATTAATAAATAATTGTATTCACACCCATAACCCAGGTAAGAAGCAAAGGTTGGAGATTTTCATTTGGCTGTACACTTTTGAGCAGAACTATCTTCCAACCTTTAAGAGTACAATACTCATCTAGTTCATTTTAAACCAGATACGGAGAGTACGCGGAGATTACAGATTTAAAGAAAATAATAACACTGTATTTGTTTTATTTTATTACCAAACAATTTTCAATACTCAATATAGTATTGTAAACATTATTGCACAGAAATACTGCTCAATACGTAAATGAAATTCGAACAGGTTTTATTATCGTGTTTATTGTTTATTTTATGATCTGTTGGTCTGTGATGTTGTTTGTAAAAGTCCGCATCACTGATGACAATATGTTGTCGACACAATATTGGCATGATGTGCAAATGAAATCCAAAATTTAACATGATTCGTCATTACATTGTACTAATTACAAATCGTGATCAAAGTGAACTGAAATAATATAAATATTAAAGAAAGGCATTGAATTTTTTTTTATTTAATTTAGTTTGCGTACACTGCAAGCTTTTGCTACGCCAATTCCTATTTATTCCAGGTTCCTTTGATTTTATAATAACACTACGGTGTGCCCGCTGCTACGACCGGGCGGAATACTGACTGTGTGGAATAGTGTCTTTATGCCGCATTTCCATATTATTATTTTACATCCCTGAGGGTAAAACTTTTACAAACTTTGAATTTCATATTTATTCATACCGAATCAGAACAGTACAAAAAAATTGTTGCAAGTTTCTTAGTCTAAAAATAACGATATTTTCATCCAACTCTTCATCACTGTTTTTCCGCATTAAAAAGTAGCCTTTGTGTACCAAATTAAATTTGAATCAGTATAATAGTTTTGGTATAAAAGTGCGACAGACAAACAGACGGATAGACAGAGTTACTTTCGCATTTATAATATTAAAACATTAGATATCTCCGTGCATACTTGGATTACGTTTTATATCAATACAATATCATTGTAAGCTGTAATTACTGCAATCAATGATGTCTAGAGGAGGATTATTTCGAGGTACGTATACAGAGCATGAAAAGTTGTTATAAGAAATGTTTGATATATTTACAAACATAAAAATAACATCAACAGCGAATGTAGAGTCGTGCCAGTCGTTAATATTTCAGTAGACGATGAACACAAAACATCGGAGAAGTAAACGCATGTGAGTTTATACTATTTTAATAATTATTAATGTTTATTATTAAAGATTAGATAATAAGATCATAGTATGCGAATTATAAAACTACTAGCTGTCGCCCTCGCGTCCGTCCGCGCGTATTTAAAAAAGTCCTATCTAGTAGCCTAAGTGTTCTAGTAGCCGTTCTGGAGATACCTTTTAACAAACAAAAATCCATACATCCATCCGTCCATCTAAAATTTCGCATTTATAATATCAATAAGATTTCTTGGCACAATATCATAAGACTGATTTCAACTTAAACTTGAAGCTTTGAAATTGGTAACAAGGAATTATTTATTGGAATGGCGAATATTTTTCGTTGTCGATTATATATGTTAATAATGTTCTTTACTTGTTTTAGAATCAAATTCGTTAGAAGAAATGTGTTGGTTTTTAGCATTTACTCTGTTGAGTATAATAACATTGAGCAGCTGCATCAACAGACCTGTTTACAAAATAGTTCTTACACAGAAAGGTTTTTCACAGGTTAGGTTTCATTTTATACTATAAATATTTACTAAAATAACAACACAATAGTACCCACTAAAGTGTGGTATACGAACAGAGAGATAATGACTAGCTATTTAATAAAGATAATTAAATGTTTATATATTAACATGGTATTGGTTTAATATATAAATCTGAAATTTCAATTGAAATGTGTCGAAGCTTCATGTACACACATTTATAATATTTTTGGACAGCTTTAATGCGAAATTAATTAGCATTATTTTGTAAATTGTGTAAGCGGATGATTTATATTTAAAACTAGCTGTCGACCGAGATTCCGTCTGCGCGGAATTAAAAAAAAAAACATAATTTTGTGGATGCCAATTTTCATCTAAATACCAAAGTTCAGTCATTCTGGAGAAACTTCAAACAAACATCCATCCACTCATCCATCCGTCCGTCTAACCATTCACGTTTATAAGTAAGAATAAAAACATCATATAATTACAGTTTATACAATATGACATCGATACTCCGCCTATAAGAGAGTTCACGTTTTGTACCTGGGTTCGATTATATGATTTAAACAATGAACAAGGCTTGTTTTCGTATGTTGGTAAGTAGATTTCTCTAATTCAATTTCAACCTTTACATATTAAGTATAAGTTAATGCCAAGGAAGCGATGTAAAATAATTTCTTATCTTAAATAGCGTATAATTTATTTATAATGTCAACTTTCTCGGCTCAGGATGTGACGATGTTATATGTAAAATTCTGCAATATAAAAATAACCGTGAGTTTACACTGCCAAAACACATTGTTGTCTATCTCTGCCCTTTCAAAATATGAAATGTAAATCCACACTTGTAATAACCATAGTAAAAGCAACCTTTATGTTTATAACCACAAATGTAATATCTCTTAAAATAACAAACTAACAATAGAATCTTAAAACAATATTTAAGTACGTCGAAACAGTGAGTTCTCAAGTCTTGAATAACCATTTTCGATGCAATTACTAGTATAACCTAAAATAATTAGAAAACAGTATTATTGTTTACGTTAATAATAATCATTTAAAAATAATGAGGAATAACTTTTGATGTTTACATTAACGACTTACGTACATTTTTGTGGTATGTTTGTTATATAATTCATTAGATAAATATATGAATAAGATCAATAGCAAATCAAAAACGTTGAACATGTAATTTATACCATAAATTTTGATATGCATATTGGCAAGGTCACAATCGGCCTTGATAAAACAAGTTGATTGAATTCACAGCCTTGTTAAAACTGTCACATGCCGATGTGTCGAGGTAACATGTTTGATGTTTATGCTTTCGAATAAACGTGAATAAATAATAAACAAAGTAATTTAGTGACCTCACATTAAGACTTTTATTCAACTGAAAACAAGTAAAACAATCAACATAAATACTCAAAATGCTTTTAGAAATTATATTTATTCAAAACGATAAAAGTTGAAATTTTTATCTAACTAGGCAAATGTGTTACGTACCAAATTCAAGCCAAAATAGAACCACTATTTGGCGACTTCGAAAATCCTGTGTAATTTCGCGGTCAAGAAACACTTAAGTATACGTTTCTCACGGTAATTCAAAATATCCGTATTTGTTTTTTAAAAGATAGAAAGGTCTTTTCCTTTTACATAATCACTGAGTATTAAAATTTGTATTCTAGTTGCTAATTATCATGAAGCAAAACATTTTTTTAATAATTTGACGCGGATCTCGTCGTTTACCGGACATCGGTGTGCCTCCTAACAATAATGGGATACCGACTAAGGGGATCTTGTTAAAACCCAGTGTGGCATTAAATATAGGCCTGCGTAAACTTCACGGAACATCGACTTTATTAGGGTGATAATTTTACTTTACCGGCACTTTGTTTTTTTTATTATTTTAAAATAAGCTTATTAAAATTAAAACAGTAATTATAACAATAGCTAAATAATAACGCAATTAAGAAAAAAATAGTCGATGAAGCAAATTGTACGGACGGACGTACGAGTATAGGCGTGGTCTACTTTCGCAATCCTTATTTCCAATTTACTAGAATTAATCGGTGTATTGAGGTAACATACATAATTAACTATTACTCGTTTGACTACTTCACGGCCTAGTTGATCTTTTTTTTTTCATCGTAAAATGTTAACGGTCGACGTACAGCACATGTAGTCGGATAGGAGTAGATCAATCACAATTTTAGCAAGTTTCATGGTTATGTAACTTAAAATGGTCCTACATATTATGCGATGAATATCGCTTTGCTAGTCGCCTAAAGCTGATATCTTGTATCGATAGATTGCGTATGCAAAACGTTCTCCAACTCTGCAAAAGTACTATGTATTTAAAATACAAATTTTTAATTTTAAAAATATTTACTCTAGAAGATTCCTAATTTTAGGAAATAATTTGTCCCATCGAGAATTCTTTGTTGTTTTGTTGTCATTAAATAAAGTTACATGCCAGTGTCTATTGTCTTTTATGTAACTGAAGAGCTCTACTAATACATATGTAGTTTCTAAATATGATTATTAATATTTTTCAGTTAACGGCAACCGCGTAGTAAGGCTATGGTTGGACAATGGAGGGCACTTTATGAAAGTTTCTATAAATGAGAGAACACCGTCCATGATTTCCGTTGACATTGTGCGGGATTCCTGGAAACATATTTGTTTATCTTATCAGGCAGATTACGGTGCCTGGGCTCTTTACATGGATGGTAGACTTATAAGTTGTGAAGCCTTACAGAGTGTAAGTAAAGAAAGATTAACAATTAAAAAAAAAGTTCTATATGACCGAAAATAAAATTTTCCAAAGTTAAGAAATATTTAAAGAATGTTTGGAATTAAATTAAACTTTGTTTTTAGATATTTGTAATTGTATTGTATTAAAGAAATGTATGTATTTCAGCTCCACGGTTTTGTTTTGCCCGGAGGTGGAAGTGTAATAATCGGATATGGAACTAGCAATGGTATGCAAAGGTTTTTATTATAGCTCACAACTTTAATTTCAATAACAAAACATTAACCAATCAATTTATTACAGCAATACCAAGTGGAATAGAAGGCGAAGTATTTGGTGTCAATATGATACTTACTTCAACGATAGAGAGAAATCACACAATAAAAAGGGACCCACTTTATGCACAAAAACGATTCTTACAAAACAGAGTGTTTGGAAACAGAAATTTAAAATATGTTGTCCTCGGTAAACTGGATTCTAAAGAAATTAAAAATAATTACGAAACTAGCAAATCACCCCCGACACAGAAAAAAATTCCAATTAATATAAAATATAAATTTCCCTATAGTTTCAGTGAAAATAATCACTTGGAGGTCACATCATTACCTTCTACTTTTATGGACAATGCTCTTAGTAAAGATATTTTTGATTTCTCTTTAGCAGATACAACTGGATCCACAGATAAAGTAATGTTTTGGAATTTAGTAAATCAACCTAGACAAGAACCTAAATATACTCTGAACCAACCTCAAAGCGATATAGAAGTTACAGATAATAAAGAAACAGAAAATAAAACTGCTACCTTATCAATTTGGAATACTTTGTCACCACCAAGAAAGAAAAATATTTTCTCGAAAACATTCAAATCTACCAAACCGAATAATAAGAATTTTTATGAATTAAATGATGATGGCAATAATAACAATGCTACCACAGTTCATAATGAAAGCAAGGAGACATCTAAGACACTAACATCTTTCCCCCCGGAAAATTCTTTTAACCAATTAATTGGTTCTAAGATTTCAGGTAATGTATTAAACTATTTGAAAAGAATAAATTACTATATGAAAGACCCTGTCAAAGTAGCATTGAATGTACCACTCGTTAAAATATCTGATAATTTTGAAAAACCTAAAGAGTTAAATGGACTTAAAGTTCACCAACCTCTGAAATTCCAAAGACGTAATTTCGTTAGCAGACAATTCGATAAACGAGAAATAAAAATAAACGGAAGTTTTGTCAATACAAGTGCTAATCTAGAAGATCGTAATTCAAATATTACTTTTCTCAATCTAACGCTAAAAGAACATGAAAATATTACATCAAAAACTGATCAAAGGAATTATCGAAATATTGATGGGATACCATATAGTAAACATTATGATAAAGATGATATATACAGATTTAATCCTTATATAGGAAAAGAGAACATAAACAACAGAAATGTATTTAATTATGACGGAGGTAGAAAAAATAATCAACACACAATATTACCTTTTATAAAATCAATTGAATATTTCGTCAATGATCGTGATAACGGCTCAAATGAATTATATAATGACGATATTAATACTAGTGACTTATTTACTAGAAGTGTAATGCAAGGAAATAAATGGCGTAATGTCCACACTTACAATAATGATTATACGCCGCGGCGTGTTAATCTGGAGTCTGGACTGATACAGAGAAATGACATATCAGAAGCAAATAGAAAGCTACCGTCGTTGCGATTGAAATATAAGCCTGAAATCCAGAAGTTCTTAACAGACAATAAGGATCCATCTATTATTGAAGGACGCGCACTGGCTAAGGCAGTCTCAAATCAATCCAATCACGGTTCCTTTTCAATCCTTAAATACAATCGTGGATTTCTGCCAAAACGTAGAAGGGATCAGAAATCTTTAGGTAGAGTAAATCGTGTTTCAAAAACTAATAATAAAGAAAATTCTCCATTTATAAATAATAATAGCAATGACATTAAATCTAATACCTATCTAGAACCCCTTACAATAAATGAAGAATTAAATATAAATAAACGCCGGCCCGAATTAAATAGAATAGGTGAAACAAGTTCTCAATTTTACGGTTTGAAAATTTGTATGTCTTTACAAGCACAGAATCATAATCTATATGTACAACCAGATGGAAGTATTGACCTTACACGTATAGTGTCACCTGTAAAAGATAAAAACACTGGAGTAGAATTTATGATGCAAAACTACAAACGCTGTTCTTTAAAAGATTCAATCTTAGAAGGACATCCATTACTTTTCATAGATTGGGATAAGACACCAGTGAGGCTATTTGGAGGTGCATATCCAAAGAAAACTACAGATCTTTGTGGATTTTTCTAATACAAAAATATTAATATATAATTCGTTTGTTGTTTGCTTATGCTATGTTGACACAAAAACGAAATCAACAACGACCATCAAATTCCACCATCTTGCAATTTATCTGAAGAGAACATCTTGTATTGAAGGCGATGATATTATTGTAATAATTCAAAAATATTTTTAATGTTTTAACTAATTGGAATAGAACTGTTTTGTTATTTCACAGTACAGTATAAATTAATTAAAGTATAGTTGTGTTTTCTTTACCATAATGTGATGTTTTAAACTAGTATGATATAACTGTATGTAAAATATATACAGAATATTGTAATCCTTTTCAATATTGATACAGTGCAGCAATGGACGAGCTTATTACGTTTGAATTGACATTCATAGGGACTTTGTACGTATATTATTAGTCAACTTTATTGACTGTAACATCGACCACATCGAGGATATTTGTTTAAAAACTCGTATAAAACTTATAATAAATAACCAAGTGATGCGGTCGTAGGAAATTTTTTTCAAAATGTAAACTTTCATCATTTATTTAAAAAAAATTGAGAATGATATGAAAAATTCCGAAAAATTGAGTATTAACGTCAACTTTTGTTGAGTAATTTTATTGAAGGAAGAATAATTCACTATTTTTTGCCCATTAATTTAGAAAAATCCTTCCTTAGTTCTGTCCTACGTATGTAAATGTGTTTTTTTTTGTTAAACTCACTGTGAATTTAAAGATTGAAATTACAACATTCACATGTTGATAAAAATGACAACATTCGTCGTGTTTCGACTGGGCGATTGCAATTAAGTGCCCTGATTCACATTTTAAGTGCATTAAAGACCTAATGGGCTTTAGTCAGTGAATGGTGTGTGTTACAAAAACATAATTACTAGCTTGCATTCATGGTTGTAGGTACACAGAATAGAGATTTGTATGGTGGCATTCCCTGACATATTAAAGCAAATGTTTAGATGGATGGATGGTTGTTATTAGAAAGTATCTTCAAAACAAGTCGACAGATCTCTATAACGTATAGGCTACTAATTAAGTTTTATTAACACATTTGTGGATTCTGGATCTTAATTTTCTAATTAAAAGAAATCGTACTATCTTCTGATGTAATGAAAATATATGTTCAAAATGAAGTTAGACGTTTCAAACATTCCATATATGATTTTTATTTTAGCAAATTAAATAGCATTTACATCGATGTCGAAATTGAATTCAGGTTAAAAACGGGTCGACATTTTTTGAGAAAAAAAATTTCGTCAGAGAACCAGTATTATTTTGAAGGACGGTATTGACTAATATTTTACTACTTTCTTAGTGCAAAATACATCTCATGACGAAAAGCTTGTTTGCAAAACTAGTTCATAATTGACAAAAGTCCTTAGTCGAAAAAGATTGCAGAATAAATTATACAACATCGTATAGTATGGTGTTAACAAATTTTATTGTTAAAATTTTAAGTTGGTAAATTTTTATTTTCAACTAAATTTTATCAAATTAATATTAAATATATTAAACCAAATATTTTTATTTATGACTAGTTGTTGCCCAAGATCTCGTCAGCGCAGAATAAACAAAAAAAAATTCTTTAGTTACTCCCACATACATAAGCTACCTTCCAATTTAAGTCCAGTCGACATTGATCCAGCCGTTTCAGGGATTACCCGGAACAAACTCAGACTTGTGAACATACAAAAATTTTAAAACTTAGTTTTTTTTAGAAGCAACATATATATAATACATTATTTTGAAAATACAAACAGACACTCTAATTGGATTTAATGTATAGAAGAAACATAGCAGTGTATAAAAGATACTGCTTAAATCATCTTTAAATTTCTTACCAAGTTTGAGATTTTATGACTGGTGTAAAGCTTGAGCCCAGTGAATGCTATAACGCTTAAAAGATTTTTTAGTACATTTATAATGATTATAGGCTCCATGAACTTAATATAAAAACTATGAAATATTTTCATCAAAACAATAAAGTTGGTCAACAAAAGCTCAGAGAGTCCGTAAAACTCTTTGTTCTCAGCAGATGATCTAAAAATAGAACGCATTCAAATGATAAATCCTGTGAAGCGCGGGAATATCACGATCCCGGTTTACGCAATTTGTAAACTAGTCTATAAATTTAAGTAAATTAGCTAAACTAATCTGTGAATCATTACAAATGTGTACAATAGAAAAATCTTTGGTTTAAACTCACTAAAACCTTGTCACCTCCATCGTGGTATGTGACATATGTACATAGATAAATAAAACTTAGGATATTAGAATGAATTTTCTAGAAAAACTAATCAATTAAATAGATATTTAAAACAGGAATGTATTAACATATTGCAATATTTAAATTTATGCAAAATAAAACTGTTATAAATGAAATAATTTAAACTGTTAAGTAATTTTTCGTATTAAGACAGTTTTAAAACAGTTATTACAAAACCATTATGTTAAAAAAAAACATGCATTTGTCACGACATTTTCCATCAAATAAACGACCTTACTAGATTTATTTATTTTCATTTTCCATACATTAATTACTTAAAGGGTCTCCATTTAAGTAAACAACTTGTTTATTAAAAAATATATTTACATTTTGTATGTGTAAATAAATTAAGGAAACGAAAAATTTATTCACTCTCGTGCACCTAATGCACCTAAGCGGGGTCGCTTTAGCTGTTTACCATTACTATGAATACAACTATGGATTTCCATTGTCTAGACACGCGTAAAATATATATCATTATGACCTTGAAAAAGCTGACGGAATCTGTATTTATACAATTTCACTGTGTGTTTCCTGACTACAATATGTTAGTAAAAACTTACAGTCAATCCAATCGAAACTTACTGTCACGATGACTTTATTAATCCGTAGAAATGCTAATAAACTTATTTTTTAAGTCATTGCCGTGTTGCTGAATCAAACTTGTCAGAAAAACTATTGCGTTAAAAATTTCACAAAAATGTGTAAGTGTTAATTGTGATAATAAGGCATTTTTGTCGTATGTTACGTGTTTAGTTTTGTAATATAATTGTATATTAATTGACAGTATCCCTATTAAATATCCTAATAGAGAATTTTACAAACAAATATCTTGTATAAATTGCACAAAAAGTATTCATTATGAAGTTATCATAGAAATAATGCATTTCGGGCAATAAATATTAATCCTTTTAGATTAATTTAAAACACATATTAGTTTATATAATAAAATGAATGAGATAGATAATCTGCCGGATGTCTATAATTAATGCACTATATCAACACTTTTATAAATTACGTTATATAAGATACAATTGCTATTAGATTTTGATAAAAATTCACTCCGATTGTTATATACATGTTGAGTAACATTAAGTGTAATGAAAACGCGACATAATATTACAGTTATCATTTCCTCCAAGATTACAATATACATTCATTATATTAATATTTGAAGTGAAAACTTTATACATCTTTAATAAATGAATTAAAACATAATAAAAGTGCATAATACTATTTTTGATGAAAAAACAACAAATCTTTGATTTTGGTAAATAATTATGGTTATCAAATCTTGCAAATGATGATCCACATCCCGGTAACTGATTGAACTAAAAATTTTACATACATGTGTAAATCGCGTCTAATGATGGGAGTTTGAAGTTCGCAATGAAACGACACAACCTAATAGAGTTACGGCTCGTTTGAATCATCTTGGCAAATAGTTTTTCTTTTTAATTTTTATTTTATAAAAGCTCGACTTTAAAAAAGTTTCTTTACATTTCTATTCATCGCATCCGGAATGCACGAATGCTTAACTAATATTTGCTCTCTTTTGAAGTAAATATATTTTATAATATTATACATTATAGACAAAGTTGCTAAAAGAGAAAGTGTAATATTTGTCTTTTTATGTATGTCAATTAAGAGTAAGCGAAAGTAATTTATATGTAATTGTGTTACATATTATCATATAGTTTTGTAAAATTTTATCTTTTTCATGATTAAACATATGTATCTGTGAGCCTCAGTCGCTCAGTATTTTAAGCACTAGACTTGTAATCTGCTACTAGGTTCGAACCCAACCATGTACCAATGTGTTTTTCGATTTACATATACACATTTATCCGAAGTTCTTACGGTGAAGTAAAACGTGATGCAATATGAGCATATCTGCAAAGAAATTCATAGATATGTGTGAAGTCAGTCTATCCGCATTGGGCCAGCGTGGTTGACTATGGCCTAGTCACACCTAACTTTGGTAGGATCCGAGCCCCGCAGTTGAGACGGTATTTTGTTTTCGTCATCTCTTCAAAACAAGAATCAGCTATTTTTATATTGTAGTATGTCACAATTGTAGTGTATTTCATATAAAGACTTAGTAAACACATATAAAATGTCATTACAGCAGATTATAGTGAAAATAATAAATACATTTCAATATTAAGTGATATTCAATCTCAACTCCTGAGCAAGTTTTACAAAGTTTTATTGCAATTACAGAAAACTGCGATCCTTTGGATGTTACACTTCGTTCGACGATTTCAAATAAATTGAAACTGAATGTTCCCTTGATTCGATTCAATATCTAGGTCTTACTTCCATTTCGTTGAGTGCTCGTCGCTGCAAAGCGTGACTATGTTTTTTCACTTTGTACAAGACATTTTTTTTATTAAAAATAACACTTTATTTAAATAATTGTTAATCACTAAATATGTTTTGACTTCTAACAAAAGTAGATATATTTTATTCGGTGCAAATCATAATTGAAAAAATCATACTGTAGTTTCCATATAATTTTTGTCCTCCGCGTTTTAACAAAGTTATTGCAATTTAAATATGAGCCTCTAAACTATTTATTGAAGTCGACTTCAGAATCATATCGTGATGATGGCTGACGATCGTACGAGTAGGTACACAAACACATTTATCATGACGTCACATAGAAAGCCAACTAAAAGTAGACAATACACTTTCTATGAAACTGTAACATTTTCTAATAAGACAAAAAAATATATAAATTTTACGCAATATGTTTCTTTTTTATTTGTGCCCATATATTAATAATAATTACTCGAATTAATGAATGTATTATTTTATATATGTATTATTTATGTAGAAAAAAATAATTTATT